GGCCCTTGTAACAGCTGTCGGTTCAGGGAAACACCACCATACTCTGCGGCGCAGTCGTACACCACTCTCATCTTCTGCTTCTGAACTTGGTAAACACCGTGATGTGGGATGAACCAGACTTTACCATCACTTCTGAACTTCTGGCTGTCGGGAACCTTTTCAACATAACCCTTGCCTATGGTATCTTCCATAGCTTGCACATATTTCTCTTTGAACTCTTGGTTCTTATCGAACTTCCGCTTCAGTTGAACAGCTCTCTTTTCTGCCAGCGAGCGGTTGTCAGGCATTCTTACTGTGGGTCGCTGTAGTGGTAGTGCCATCTGATAGTGACCGCCTTGAAACTCTGTAGTTTCTTTGACAATGTCTAAGAAGCGCATGTCTTCCCTTGACAGTGCACTTTCATCTTGGCTTTCGCCCAACCTTTCATTGAAGTCTAAGTTCATGTAGTGTTTGTATTGATTTTCCAGGTTGGTCAAGCCATCTAGTACGTTGATGTAGTTCGCATCAAGTTGGGATTTGGGTCTGCCGGGCACTCCATAGATGACCCATCCCACAGGGGTCTTAACACCATAAGGATCTCCCGAGTCGCCTCTGATGACCTCAATTGGTGTTGTAGCAGCTGGTACGTTCATACCTATGATTAGGGTTACCCTTGGAATCGCTGGGCTGCACAGTTGTGGTAGTTGTATGTGTGACAGGTGGGTCCATTCCTGCAGATCATCTTTCGTTACCATGTCTTCTGGCGACACAGGAATGTCATTCTTGACATACACATCAGGTAGGTCGATGAAGCTGTTCTCCTCTATCATCCCTCCCAACTGGAGTCTATCTATCACGATAGCAGAGTTGACAACTTCTTCTGAATTCAAGGTTTTCAGTATTATACTTCTCTTCCTTGTTCTCACCTTCAGTGCTCTGCAAATCTCGCTGTCTGCGAAAACTGCTCCACATCCGTTGTCTAGAAATGCGTACGTGGCAATGCATTCATGACTTGAAGATGCCTTTACTAAGACGGGTACGATAGCCATTCGAGGACTGCCAGATGCGTGCAAATTCGCCCCAGCCCCTAGTACACCTGCACACCCCGTTGTAACTTGGGTCTGAGAGTTCTGCGCTGGGTGGGACGTCTTAGTGATTTTCTCATCATTATGCAGAACTGTTGGATGGTTGCCTGGACATTTGCTGCATTTACTTAACTCTCTCTGTTTACAGCTTGATTTCGTATGACCGACCCCCAGGCAGCCAAAACACAATCCGTGTTTGAAACAGAATGACGACTTGTCCTTCCAACTCAGCTGCGCGAATTTCATGCATTCTAATGTAGCGTGATGGGAGTTACTGCCACAGAATTGACAAGACTTCTTCTGCCTTGCTTTCTCTGCATGGCTATTCACAGCGGTGCCAAATGCCTCTTTCTTGACTTGAACTCTTTTGTTCTTCTCTCCAATGTTATTCTTGCCTAGGTGGGGAATCTCACGTAGCCTTCCAAACGTTGGGTTGGAGAGTATCTGAGAGTGTCGATCTACGAAACTCACCAGATCGTCAAGGACAATGCATCTCTTTTTCTCTTCTTCCACTTCATACACTTTGTTTCTCCACATGCTGCGCAGTCTGTACGGAAGTTTCTCGACCAACATCTGGATGCTCTGGGTGTGGTTTAATTCACTGAGAGCGCTGACAGAACTTGTCATGTTCTTGCACTCCGATAAGAATATCGAAAACTTATTCAGGCCGGTAGCATCTTCTGCTCTGATGTCAGGCCAATTATTGGCTTTGTTTAAAACCGCCTGAGCAATCTTGTGACTGTTGCCGTATCTTTTGGCTAGCAACTCTTTAGCCTTGCTGTAGCCCTCTTCAGCATCATGGTAATGTAAACAACTGCTTACCAGAGTGTTGGGCTCTCCGGAGGTATATTGGCAAAGATAATTCAGTCTATCTCTACCGTCTGTGGTCTTGTCTTCGACACCGAACTCAAAGGACTTGATGAATCTTGTGTACTTCAGTGTATCGCCATTGAAGGTTTCTATCTGTTGTGCTGGTAACGCAGCTCTAACTTGTTGCTTGATCAAAAGTTGCGTCAGCTCACCGATATCGGAAATGGGCTGCAGATGTGGTTGATACCGTTGTGCTGTAGTTGGCTCAGGCACATGGTGATCCAGCTGAGCACAATCTTTGTGTAGCTGGCCTATATTCACCTGCGGAGTCAATTCTGGCATCCGGTTTTCGACTTCATCTACTTTAACTTGAAAGTCTTGCGGTATCGACCAAGGATTTTCAATCTTGTTGGGCTCTTCATTTGAAGAGACCTTTTCAGATGCTCCAGCTTCAATTCTATCACCCAACACAGAACTTGCACATGCCGCCGGATGAGGAATTTCGTCGGGCAACTTGAATCTGATTTTCTGATCAAACTCATCTTCATATTGCTCTATAGCACTAATGCTGGCTTCAGAAACTTCTATTTCTACCTGCAGGTCGAAGTTTTCCCTTTCTCTCTGCAGTCTAAATTCTTCCTGTTGCCTAGCTTGTTGCACAGCAAGATGTCTAGATTCTAATTCTTGTTTCTTTGTCAGTAGACGTTGCCTACATAACAGTTCAGCTCGTTTTGCGGCTGCTTTCACATGAACTGAGCTTGATGTTCGGTTACTCATGGGTGAAATTTGAGAAACACTATCTTTGGCATCCATCATTCTTTGATGTTCTCCGACGTGAAATATAACAGAAATGATATTACGGCATCATAAAACCGGTAGGTAAATATATAGCGCCCTCTATGGCGACATCATCAAGGCAAGACGATTTATCGATGCCCGAAATTGTCCGGTACGGGTGAAGAAATACAGGGAACCCGCAGTAATTCTACTTCAAAGTTCTATAGCTACACTCTACAAATGTTCACGAAGAAACTGGGTAGCACATTCAGTAGATCTACAGTTCATAATCAATTTTCTTTTACTAAAATGTAGGGTTCAAATTCTATTTCCCCACATTTTGCCACAGGCCGCCGATTTCCAATAACGCGATCTCAATCGGACCTATAGTTTCTAGAATTATCGATGCTAGAAACCTGTCTATATGAGTAACAGTTGGTTTATTGTTCATACTGCAGGTGTCATTACATACCTCAGAACAGGCATCACAGATGTACATGTAGATTCAACTTAGAAAATGAACAACTCCATGAAAATGAGAGAGAACAATAGAGAACGGTAAAAGAAAATTGTTGTCTAGCTGGCCGTGGCGAACGAACTGAAAACAAGTAGTTGCCACGCGTAACATTTGAAACTGATTAAGAACGCGTAAGTGCGCGCAGTACGCAAACCAGAAGCGCGCAGAAGACTGGCCTCAACAGAAGCTACAACAGCACCCTCTATTGCCGCGCCTCCTCAAATGTTTGTACCAAGGAGCACCAAGGAATGGGGAAATTGCACCAAGGCAAATGATAAAGGGCACCAAGGCAAATTATGGAGGACACCAATGTATAATGAGGACACAAAAAAGCAAAATAGTACCCACCTTGTCTGTACAATACAAGCTTGAAAAAAAAAAAGCCACCAAAAAAAAAAAAAAAAAACCGCGTCGCCGCATCAATTCCGGAACTTCGGTCTGACCAGAGACCGACTATTTTTTTTTTTGGCCTTACAAGAAAAATTTATTTTGGCATGATTTTCCGATTTTATTTTCAAGTGCAAAGTGAACCCTTTGAAAATGCCCCGAAAAATCAAAAAAATAATTTTCTGACAAACATCTGGCTGGGTATGTAAGTAGAGATAATAATTATTTATCAGAATTTATCAAGTTTACAGAATTAAATTCTTAAATGTTAATTTGGAATTTTCCGAGATGTATTCAAGTGCGCCACATTAGGGAACACTCTGCCAATTTGTGCCCAATTTCCGGACGCCACCGTTTTTGAATTTCGGATTAAATTTTATGAAACCAAAATTGTTCACAGAGGTTAAATAGCAAGCATTAGGGCATAATAATAATAAGGTAAAACTTTAAAAAGTAGTGCTAGTATTTTACTGCATGAGTTTGAGGTTTGTCAACAAAGAGGTTTGGCAACGCTACACAAGAAATGACAAGGAAAGTCGGGTAGGCTTCGAGTTGCGCCACGATATAGGGAACACGACTATAATTAGTACTAAATTAGGCCTAGGCCTATCATGATTATTGACAAAAATGACAGAAACAAGTAGAAAGTGAACATCGAACATGTGCATGATTAGCCCCATAAATGTGGCCTATTTACTGGACTGCCTCCGTAAACATAGGCCACACATCCACATGTACAAAAATCGTGTCGACTTTGCCAAATTTTGATTTTCACATTTAGGCTTAGTTTGTAGGTTTTTTTTGCTTTAGAAGCATACTCACCCTCTGTATAGGCTAGTCAGAAAGTGCTGCCTTTTTCAGATGTCTAATTTTTGTGAAATTTCCTGTTGAAATTTTGATACGCAAACGTGTAAAAATGAATCTGGAAATTTCACGAAAAATATTCATCTGAAAAAAGGCAGCACTTTCTGATTAGCCTATAAAGAGGGTGAGTATGCTTCTAAAGCAAAAAAACCCTACAAACTAAGCCTAAATGTGAAAATCAAAATTTGGCAAAGTCGACACGATTTTTGTACATGTGGATGTGTGGCCTATGTTTACGGAGGCAGTCCAGTAAATAGGCCACATTTATGGGGCTAGTGCATGATGTGTCGAAAGATTTCGTGGGCTATAGTGGGTCGTTGAATTTTAAACTCAATTATCATGATTATAAATTATAACCACAAGTTCCTATTCAGAAAAAGGGTCACCAAATGAACAGCGCCCTCACACATTTTCTAATGCCGCTGACGCTCAACTTGACCGGTGACGTATCGATACAAGTTACAACTGTCTTTCCCTCCGCGTTTATCGTATTGACACTGATAGACGAATTACTTGCATGCCGAATAACATGATTCCACTTTCTCGCACACCTTTTTTTTTTGAAAAAGAAAATTACTCACCAACCTGCCAGTGCCAACTGTAGTGTATCAGTGCAGTGATATTACTATACTATCACTGCATAGTGCATGCACGTGCACTATGATCTGACTTTTGCAGGTCAAATTTGGACGGGACCACAAGAGGGCGCTTTTATCATCCAACGCGTGATCGGATTCTGTATGGCGCTCCTTTTTTTCATACCACATTATGGGCGCTTATCGAAGCACTTTGGTTCTCGGACTTTGTTTTCCCTTAAAAATCCTCCAACCCGGATACCCCCCAAAAATTTTCCAAATAACTGTTAAAAAAAAAACCTTTTTATATGACCAAAAAAGTACATAAAACAAACAAAAATCAGGGGCGGATCCAGGAATTTTTGCAGGAGCGGAGTTCATCGGCAGAAAAGTGCTGAAATGTACTTAACGAGGTTTTTCCTTTGGACACTTGGCCTCCTATTCGCTTGTACCCATAGTTGTAATGACTCCAGTCAATGACTGAGTCAAAATTTTTGGTGACTCGACTCGAGACCCTATGGGTGAATGACTCGACTTGACTCGAGTCACTGCAAGCAAATGACTCGACTCGACTCCAGTCCCTCATCAAAACTTCACCACGAGATGAAGCATTCAATATTTGTTTTATAACACTTCACCCACAGATTCTGCTTGGTTTTAAAATTTTTAATTATTTAAATCTGAACACAGTTGAAATAAACTTCAATGTCAATACAAACTTTGTGGAAAATGTATTTCTCTCTTCCAAACTACCCCTTCGCGAAATGTTTGAACCCAACTCTGTGGCGCGCTCTCTTTGGAACAAAACGCGCTACGTGCAACGCGCAACGCGCACACCAGCATGCATTTACACACACATACCGCGCCGTGGAAATAGTACTTTGGTTGCTAATGGTCACACTTTGGTTGCTACGGGTATAGTGCTTTTGGCCGTGTACAGAAAGATAGCAAAAATAGAAAGTATCATGTGACTCGCTCTCGGTCAATCAAGACACAGAATCTGTGGGTGAGGTGTTATAATGAAGAATATCCCCGTAACCCAGTTGGCACTGCAGGCTCTGACAACATTCTGTGCAAAAACGGTTATTATTAAATGTATAATTATCAAAAAAAATGGGGGGGGGGGGTGTCAGAGCAGGGGGTGGGGTTGTTCCTCATTAATTTAATGTATTTCTATGAAGAAAATAATCTCAGACAGAGCTGGGGGGGGTTGTTCCTCATTATTTTAATGTATTTCTATGAAGAAAAAAATCTCAGACAGAGCTGGGGGGGGATGGGTGGTCCCCCAAACCCCAACTATGGATTCGTGCCTTGAAAATAGCAAAATCACACTCAGAGGGTTCACGAACCTACATGCAGTATCAACCTCGTCCCCGTGGGTTACTTTATTTTCAGCCCCCTTTCCAATAGTAATTGAACAAATTTGTGTACGATCAAGGGCAGATACAGGGGGGCAACCGTTGTTGGCCGAACCTTTGAGCTATTTTTCGATCGCTGATTGGTTCGGTAGGAAAAATACCGAGAAAATAAAGAAAAGGTTAAACCGCTGAGACGAAATGGCCAATGCGAGTAGGCCCGCCGGTCTAATTGTTGTGCCATTGGCAGGCGCACTATGCACTCCATCATCCACTATCGATTACTAGCGTCTTGGGCCAAGACTCGACTGCGGAGCATCTAGAATTCCAAAATTCCTGAACTCCACGCCGTAATTTTTGAGACCCACTTTTTTTTGGGGGGGGGGATCCAAAAAATGTTCCCCCCCCCCAAAAAAAGTTGTGTTCTGGATCCATCAATATTGAGATACTGATCCCTATCAATATTGAGATGCTATATTTACTATTTTACAATGAACCTTGGCGAGGGTGATTTTCTTAAGAAATCACTAGCACTTAACAAAAAAAATAATTTCAAATGTTTGAAGTTGTGCACGTTAATTTTCCTATTCAAGGGTTCCCGAAACGCGCCACCATGCCAGGGGTCAACTCTTAGGCGCTTATATACGCACATGTACAGATGTACAGTGCAATATTCCTCGCAAAAAAATTTAAACACAAGGCATTACATGGACGTAGACATTATGTATCTCTAAGCCTACATGTACACAAAACTGTTGTCTTTTTCAAATTTCTTTTGTTTTCTATTTCACCTTTATCACCACTAGTTTATCTCATCGAGGCACCAGCGCCCTCAAGCGACCACCAGCAGTGCGCTATCACTTACTGTTCTCTGGCCTTGACGATTAAAGCATTGGGTCATTTGTAATTCAAACAAGTTGCGGAATATGGTCTGGTGCCTTCACAATCTGCATCTAAATGGTTGTTAAATTGTCTTGTCTAAGGTGCAGATCGAATTAAGCAATTCCTCACTGGGTCAATTAAATTCGAAAACAAATGATTTTTTAAGGTGATACACAAATCCAGCCTGTTTTATCACACTTAACTGATAATAATTAAAATGGAAAAAGGAATAAGTGTTAGTGATTATGATTATATAGGGCTTAATATTCACACAATGTTCACTTTAAAACACTACATACTAGTCAATTGATCGCTGGAAATGAAATTCATCAAGTTGCACTTTAATTCCATACCGGGGTCTATAATGTTGAGACGGCTAGGAATCTACAGCAACTATGATTATGACGGGAACATACTGTTGAAACCTGTACCCGACTCTAACATTGGTACGTTTCAGTCTCTAATCAGTGAACTATTAAGGTAGGTCTACTATTGCAGCAGAGCTGGGATTGTTTTTGTTTGTTTTTTCCTTCATTTTTCCCAAAAACATGACAGGAACATTTTGTGTGCAATTTTCTACTCCTCTTAAACGTACGAAAGCTACTTGACATCTTTTTTTTTGTTTATTTTATTCAAAAGTGCACTTCTTTATGGCGTTCATGCATTTGCAGACCACGTACCACAGAGGGCGCTGTTGCTGTGATGTCATTTCAGGAAGACACTGTTCACTTTAGGGGTTTTCTGTTCAAATTGTGAACCCCAAAGTTTGCCCATTGAACGCATTTTTGAGACACAACAAATCACACAACAAATCACCAAAGAAAAGAATTTATGATAGCAACATATCAACATTCTGGTAACTTTTGGTGCTAAAATGGCTGTAACATCGAGGTCTCGGCCTGAAATGACATCAAACTTTTGCTCACGAATATGTAAATTTTCATTAGCATAAAAACCAAAAAAGCACCATGATACCCTTGGGAAAAAAACGGTTAAATATTACACTAACAAATTACATTGCATGAGCACTTTAACCACTGGGTGGTTGAGACTTGAAATCACAGAGCTTCCTAATGTGACATCCAAGTCGCCGTACTTCATTTATGTTTTTTTCTACAGATATTCTCAAGCAAGATAAAACGAGACGTAGATTGAAGTTAAAATACATGTTTTTGTTTTGCCTCGACTTATCTTTAAAAGAAAAATACAGTTCTCAATATACAAATTGAAGGTTTTATGGGGAGTCAATCTGCGAGGTAAAATCGTCAATCGTTTAGATTCGTCATTAGACCAAATGGTATAAATCCTTTCCTTGGTAGTTGCAGCAGCAGCATTTACCGTTTGCAGTATTTGTCAAACTAAATAAAAAGGGAAGATGGGTAGGCAAAAATATGTGGGCCATTAAAATCTGGCATAAGACCCGGTAAACTATACCCGTGTGCTTGAAATGCTTCACCAAAAGGGTAAGAGTCAGTGACTGCTCAATACACACAAGCCCAGCCATCCCGGCAAGACGGACCGCCTTCCAGAGAGGATAGCTTGAAAATTCAATTAGAAGACGGTAATTCAAGACGCGAAGAAATCAAATCTGTCTGGGTTGAAAGCTAATGAGATTGTCTGGATTTAGTAAAGTTCGTCCCACAGCTAAAATATATATATTTGCACTTTTCTGGCTGTGCAATTTTTTTTTTTTTCAAAATCAACGGTGACGACTGTCGTGAAAATTCATGGTAAAAAAAACGAGGATTTGTGGAACAAAGCTTAGTGTTTTATCTCGGTGTACTACACTAAGAATTCATCTGTCATTTAACGGCACTTCTGTTGCTGTCATTAAATTTTTTTTAAAATGAACTAGAATGATATGCTATGCAATGTATGTACATGTATTTTAATTAAATAGAAAAAGTTTGAAGAAAGCCAAGAAAACAAACCCCTGATGAAAGAAAATGAGAAAGATTAATTGAGGAGAAAGCTTTGGGTGCGAGCACGAATTCTGAAATATACAATTAAGCCACTATATGTGAACAGTCACATAAAACAAGGGCGGATCCAGGGGGCCAACGGGGGCTATGCCTCCCCCCCCCCCCCCTCCCCAAAAAAAAACACGACCAAAAGGTTTTTTGTTTTTTTTAGTGACGTCGTACACCACCATCTTTTCCTCAAAACGAAATTGGTTAAAGTGGTCAGAAATTGCCTCAGATCGCACCACGGAGCATCTAGAATCCCCCCCAAAAAAATCGGAGCCCTTCAGCGGGCCCTGAACCCCACGCTGAAATTTTTTGGACACACTTTTTGGGGGACCAAATTTGGTTTGTTTGTTTTTTGCCACCCCCCAAAAAAAGAGTGTGTTCTGGATCCGCCCTTGCATAAAAACCACAGTAAATTAATTCCGCATGGGAAAATAGTCTACAATTGTTTGATATAAGTCATATATTATTGAATTGTGCGTTTATTTCCATGAATCGTGTGCTGACGGAATATTGATTGAACGTTTCAAATACATCCAGAGGAACTCGCCTGGGTCCGTTGTGTTATGTCACGTTTACTTGTCTTGGTGCAGATGTGGAAAATGAATGGATTTAAGCGACTTGTTGTTGGGGGGAAAACCTCTCACCACCGATTGAAACGAATGCATATCCAAGACCATCTTTGACATTTGAGGCATGAAAGGGGGGGGGGAAGCTGCTCAGGAGCCTGCAGCCGCTTTCAACATGTTCTTATTATTCCCACCAGAGTTTTGGATTTACGCTGAGAGGATCATAAGCCAGGCTGAAAACTATTTTTAGGCGTCCGTGCAG